GTTTTCTTCCCTTCCTTTTCTTGGTTCACACCTTCAGCCCTATCGTAAGAGCTCTGTGGTGTTACTGGGTGCATGTCTTTCACGGAACGCCATCTTCCTGGAATTCAGACAGAATGTAGAACTTGTTTCTGAGGAAACAAGCAGAGGTTTCCACCAGACTTCTCAGTTCTGGCAGAAGTCAGAGAGCCAGGCAAGGGTTCTGGGTCCCAACCCCAGACCTTAAGTCCAAAGTGTCCCATCTCCTAAAGTGGCCCAGATTGTCACTGTCAACCACTGACTGTTCTCTCAGGTGGGAATTTCCCAGTTGGCAGGATGGGCACTGCAGATGTGTGTCTGCATGCCAGCGGACCCGGCACCCTCCTTCCTCCCTGCCAACCGCCTCCACCTCTCCCACTCAGCAGCTCACACCTTCTGGGTTTCCCCCACCCCCGCCCAAACCACACAGTAATCAGAGAATCAGTGGCTGTCACCGCTCAAAGGGACCTCAAAGTCCTCCTCCAGTCCCAAGCATTTGAAGTAACAAAATCTCTAACATGTATCCAGCTCTCAGTATGCGCCAGCTGATACACTTGTATCAATTTCTCTAACCTTCCCAAAATCTCATGAGGTAGGTACGATTATCATCCCCATCTCACAGCTGAGGAAACTGAGGCACAGACTGGTTAAGTCATTTGCCCAACGTCATCCAGCAAGTCATTAGCAGAGCTGGGACTCAAATACAGGGTGCCCGATACTAGAATGCAGGCTCTCAAAGACCTCCAGCCTCTGAAGGCTGAACGCCTCAGCCACAGTTCCTCAGACATCGGAACTCCTCCTCAGATCACTTCCTGCCTCCCAGGACCACTGAGACTGGTTATGGGCCACTGAGAGGAGATGGATGAGAGAATGGTTTATAAACTCAGCCTCTTGCATCTCCCAGAGCCACAATCCCAGCCTCAGCCATTCCTGCTACAAGGGTAAGCTCCCAACCAACGCCTTGGAAACCCGTTTCCCTCCCTGCAGGCCTGGGGAGGGGGGCTCAAAGTCTGTGGGTATGAAAACCACTAAAAAAAAATCATTCTCAGTGTGCAGAACAGCCAGACAAGGTCTCGGTAACTCAGAAAATCGTCGTCTCTTCTCTTTATCTCACCTCCCAGGAGAGGGAGTGGGAAGGAATAATCAAGTTCCTGATGCCTTGTTGGGCTCCCCGATCGACAGCACCTTCTGCCTGCCTCGCAACAGGCAGCAGCTATAGTGCCCCTGACACGCACCTGGGCTAGCAGACCTGGCCACTGCCCCACCACAGTCAACAGAGCCGTCAGCCTTGTCTGCCACCAACCAGGGACCAATGACTCTCCTCTCAGGGCTGGGATTAAGTTGCAAAGGGTTTGAGAGATTGTGGATGACAAAAGGGACTTGGAGACTAATTAGGAGCAGCAATGAAAGCTTAATTCATAAAAGGAAACATTTTCCATCCATCAACCTGCAACCAGTTAAGGGCACCGTTTGAAAGAAATCTGTGCGTGGGGAAGGGAGCCAACAGGAACAGGAAATGTTTGAAAGAATGTAAACTATTTCAGTTTCATAAAAAGTAACAAGTAAACAGTTATTACATGCAAATAATGTCCTGGTTTTAATTAATGCTGAAAAGTCAAAATATGGTTGACATTTGTATGTATACATTGAATGGCTGGAAAGGAAAAAAATGGTGCCCAGCTGCCTGTTTCAGAGCGGGACTAGCGGCTCAGAAGGAACTAGAACCTTGAGAAGGTCCTGTTTATTGGTGATGAAAAGCACGGTTCTGCTTCAGCCTGCGTGGAGTTGGGGAGCAGAGGGAACCCAGCTTACTTCTTAACAAAGCTGGAGGCGGGCCTGGTGCTTGGGAAGGGCGACTCCCATGTCTGCTGGTCTTAAAGGGCCAGTGGACCCTCAGGCCTGCATTCCACAGGGACAGGGTTTCTAGGACTTTCCCACCCAGGAGTTAAGTGATGATGGGTTTCAGGTCCCAGAAGCCTCCCATTCAACAGCCCCCCACCCCTGTCCCGCCTTCCTTCTACTGCCCAAGGTCGGTCAGACAGGCAGGGTGGCACACCAGCCTTGACTCTGGGGCAGGAGATGGCAGCCTTCGAGATGTGCTTTCCAACATTCAGCTGCATTAGCTTCCATTCCAGACCACCTAGGGCTCAAAGGGGCTGGGAAGCTGGGTCTGGGAGACCACAGCTGGAAAGACGGAGCCTGAGGTGTGGGGGAGATTCTGCCCCCTATGGAGAGGGTGGCTGGGGTGCTTGGGCCCCACCGACCAGGCACTTGTCCTGCAACCGCCTTGCTGAAAGACCTATAAGCTCCCTTTTTGAGCCTGCGAATCCACCATTTCGTGCCAGCATTTTTTGTGAGACCAGGTGTGCTTAACCAGGAAAGAGGGGGTGGCATGAACGGTTTCAGGAGTTGGTAAACCCTAGAAACTGGGAGAAAACTGTGTCTTTTTCTGGCGAGAGACCATAACTTTCCTCACCTCCTCAAAGCGATCTGTAACGTCCTACAGGATTACAAATTGCTGTTTTTAGACAGTGCTGTTTTTAGACAGAGCTGCGTCTAGGGACCTGTTTTTCGGGATTCTAAGGCCCCTCTTTCAACCTCCTTCCCTGCTGCCCCTGCCACTGCCAATGCTGAACTGGCGAGGCCTCCCTTCCACTTACCTCGCCCACTGCGGCCCACAAAGCGAAGGTCGTTGAACCTGGCCACCTGGTTCTTCATGACGGCCGAGGCGTTGCGCAGCTCAGCGGAGTAGTTCTCGTCATTGCCTGCCATCACGGTCACCACCGTGCCATCTGGCACGTCCCCCAGTGCCACCACCTGAAGACATGGGGCGGGGGGATGCAGGGGGACAGCTTAGAAAGGAAGAGGGAGGCCAGGGAAAGGAGAGGAGGGGCTGGGCTGGGCAGCTCCCCTAGGTCCCAGGCGCACTGCGTATTTCTCCAATGCAGGGTGGAGAAGAGGCTTAAAAACAATAAAGACCTTCTCTCAAATATCACAAAAACAAGAAGATGGAATCTCGGACTTCCATACCAAAATCCTAGATCAACTGCTTACATAAACCGTGTCCCAAGAAATCATCCTTTCAGTGAAATCTCAGCCAGAGCTGTGAAATCAGCTCAGTCACTATGATGTGGGGTGCAGTTCCCCTGTTGTCTTCGGCTGCAGCGAAAGAGGAATCAACATGCTCCTAGCAACGAAGTCTCCAAGCGAAAAAGAGTATCAACAATAATAACAACAGGGCTGCTACCCCCACTCAATTTATGCAAGAGCTGTTTAGGGCATGAAATTTGGCCCTGAAATGTGGACGAGGACCAGTTTATTGGCCTCTGCAGAGCCTAAATTCGTTATGCAGAGAAAATGCAGAATGCAAAACTCACTGGTGTTTTGAAAAAGGTCACCCAGAAAACCCCTTTAAAGTGAGAGGGGGTCTTTTGATAATGGAAGGATGCACCTGCTGGGAACTGCAGGATGGGGGTGGCGATGTCCTCCTAAACACCATCTCCCCCAAGTCCCCCACCCCCAGGAGCACGGAGAGGCAACTGCCTTTTGAAAAACAATCAGACTTTAAACACAGTCACAACCATTTAAACGTGGCCGCCGCGTGCAGGGACTCGGGATCCATATGGTAAAAATTTCAAGGAGAAAATGTTTGGGATCTGATTAAAAAGGCCAGATTTCCTGTCAACATCCTGTCTTCTTTTAATTTCAAAGACTCCTTTTAAGCTCCAAGTGACAGTAAAACCTCCGATCTGACGATCTGACGATTAAAGTCACACGGGCCTCCCCCCCCTCCCGGGGAGATTTCCCCCACTGGTATTTTAAGATGTCACCCGAGAGACCTCAAAGAGCCACTCATCCTTTTTTTCCAATTTGGAGTCGTCTTAATGGGAGCAGGGACGGCCTCAGCTGCCAGCGGTCGCCGCTTCCAGCCACCTCGGGCAGCACCACCCCCAGCCGCCGGCCCTTCCTGCCCTGCCCTTTTCTCACGGCAGCTGTGAGAGGTTTAGGGGAAAACCAAGGCGTTTTCGTTTCATCTCGCTGCCCCCTTAAAAAAATGAAAATGAAACAGTCGCCTACTCCCTGGCATAAAGAAAAAGGTCCTCTAAATGGCTGGGGGCTGCCAGAGTTAGGGGTCCCCCAATCTCAACCCGCCATTCAGGACGCAGAATATCCCCCAGCAAACGTCTGGAGAGCAGTGCCCCGATCCCGGCCTAGCGCCGTCCCGTAAAATTTCGGAAGCCCGAGGGTGTGAGCAGGAAGCGTCTGAGAAGCGGCGCGGGAGGAGGGGTGCTGGCGGCGGAGGGTAGGCCCTTTCACCGTTCGCACCCCACCCGCGGTGTCCTTGCCCCGGTCCCGGGATCCTCTTCTCCGTTACCCGCAGGGCTGTATCTGAGCGATCCGGGTTGGGGGGGGGGCAAAACCCCATCCGCCCATTTCCGCACCAACGTCTCTACGCAGGGCGCCCTAAAACCCAGGTGGAGCGGGGCAACCCCCTTAAAAGTCATCCGTGCAGGGCGCATCCAAAACGGAACGCCGATGTCCCCAAGCCGAGTGCGCAGCGAGACAGAACCGGGTGCCCAGGTGTCGCCGCGGCGTCTGGGGCACCTCCCCTCCCCACTGCTCCGGAGGCTCTGGCTCCCGCAGCTAGGACGCCCGGAGCCCCAGGGCCGGCGCCCTCCCGCCCCGGGTCCCGCACTCACCTTGAAGGCGACGGGCAGTGTCTTGTTGCAGCGCCAGTGCGAGGGCAGCACCGAGCAGAGGAAGTTGGGGCTGTCGGTGCGCACGAGCTCGCCCGCGTGGTCCGCCAGCACGTCCACCATCGAGCGCACCTCGGGCCGGGCGCGCCCTCCGGGCCCCACGGCTGCCTGCGCGCTGAGCGCGCCGCTGTTCTCGCCCATCTTGCCGCCGCCGCCGCAGGGGAAGGCCGTGGAGGGAGGTGTGAAGCGGCGGCTGGTGCTTGGGTCTACAGGAATACGCATAACAGCGGCCGTCAGGGCGCCGGGCGGGCGGCGACGGCGCGGCTTCCCCCGGGGGCGGCCGGCGCGGACGCCTCCTCGGCCGCAGCTGCCGCGAGAAGCGGGAAAGCAGAAGCGGTGGGGCCCGGGCCTCGGGGCGCAGGGGGCGGCGCCCGGCCACTACTCGCCAGGGCCCGCCCGCTGCGAGGCCTCGCTAGCCCGACGGCCGCCCGCAGCCTGCCGGGCTAGTCCCGCATCCCCGGCGCGCGGCACCGCGTGCGGCCGCCCCTCGCGGCTGTCCCGGCTGCCTGGGCCGCGGCGGGGCCCGCGCGGGGCTGTGCCGCCGCCGCCTCCCGCCCCGAAGCTCGCCCGCTGCCGCCCCGACTCCGCGGCCGCAGCCCCAGAACAAATCCTCTAGAATGAAGTGGCGGGGCCGCCGCCGCCCGCGCGGGGTTAGTACCCCCGGGGCCCGCGGGGCGGGGCCGGCCCGAGCGACGCGTCGCACAGCCAATCGGCGGAGCCCCCATCGCGGGCACCTCGGTGGCGTTCGCGGGGAGGAACGGGGCCTGCCGGAGGCCGCCCAACGGGGAGGGGCGGAAGGCGCCACCCCGCGGAGGAGGCCCCCGTGCCACAGCCCAGGGCCCCCGAGAGCTCTGGGAGCCCGGGGCAGATGCTAGAAATTTGCTTAGAACGTCCGGGTCCCACAGAAGGCGCCCTTGTCGCCCTCTCCCGGGTCACATCTCCCTGACGCTGGGGCGCAACCCCTTCGCTCCACCTCCCCGCTGGCCGCGGCCGGGCTTCCCCAGCTCTTGCTGCTTCGGGCCTGTGACTTCTGCAACCCCGGGCTGAGGGCCGCGGGAGCCCAGGGCCGGTGACACCGCACTGGGAGCCGCCCCAAAGAGGTTACTCACCTCCCTCCTCCCGCAAATTACTCTGACCCAAGAGCCTCCAACCCACACGGGATTTTTGTGCGCCGTCCACGCCCGGCCGGCGGCCTCTGCTGCTCCCAGCCCTGCGCGGCTTTGGTCCCAGCCTCGGTGGCCCCTGTGCCAAACCGAGGACAGGCGGAAGGGAGTCTCCCAGGGACCCTAAGTAGCCTGGGGCCAACAACCCCTTTCCTCTCTACTCTCCCCTCAAAACAAGTTTCAGGATCTCACAGGCCTCGCGGCGTCGTTCTTCGTTGTGGCGGCCTGTGGCTCTTTGAAAAACACGACGAGGCCTGCAAAATGCGTTTTCCCGATTTTTTTCCTTTACGCATGTAACTACGGTCCTGCATCGTGAAACAATACGCGCGTCGGCGACAAAAGAAAAACTGAGCAGTGGCTGCAAAGCTAAGGGCCCCGGCTTTCAGAGGAGAGAATTTTCTTTCTCCATGCGTGTGGAAAGTGGCCTCCGCGGATCCAATCCCACTTCTTGGGCCCGTGCGCTCTGGCTGCGCTGCAGCGACCGCTGACAGTTTCGCCAAGGCACTGCCTGCCCTCCTGGCTCCGCGTCCCCGCTCCCACTCCCAACCGCGTGGCCCAGCCTCTCCCGGGCTTCACTGCAAACAACCCCTTCCTCTCCCGCCTCTTAAGTCAGTCGAGCAGGCCTAGGGGACGGCTACAGCTGGGAGGGCAACGGGAAAGATCAAGCCCCAATCATTCCGAATTATCGCCCCAGACCCCTCCCTAGACTCTGGGGAACGAACGCGTGCTGAGCCTCCCCGCCGCTTTGGAGACCGGGCTATATTTTCGTTGCCTCCGGCTCTCGACAGGTGCAAACAATGAATTCCAAGCCTCGGAAGCAAAGAAGCTTAGGATTCGACGGTGGCCGCAAGATCTCATCACGGATCTGACCCCTGCCCAGCGTGCGCCATTTCGTCGTCGCCAAACGAAATCAAGCCCCTCGTGCGCTCAAGGGGTGAAGGACTCTGGCCTCACCCCGACCGTCGGAAGAGCTGGCCCCTGCCCCGCTCAAGACCTCGTATCACGCCCTGAGGCCATTTCGAAAGCAAGAACAGCAAAGGTCCCTTACTGAACCTTTTAAGAGAGCCTGCGCCTGGCAGTTATCTATTGCGGACCCAGGCCCGCGCGCCCTCGGACGCGCTGGCACGAGCAGCAGAACTAGAGGAAAGCGAGCGATCCAGCCTGGGCGCTCCCATCTCCAGGAACGTCTCCGGGAAGGCCCAGCGCGTCGTGGCCAGGTAGGGCCCGGGCCGGGGGCGGGCAACATGTGCTGCCCTGGAGCGGTTGCGGGACCATGACCCGCTGTTTCAGGTGGTGGTAAATTCCCTTTGTCGAGTGGTTTGGGTTTGCACCGTGCCCTTTGCTTGTCCCTCCGCCTGATTTCTCCGTCTCCCCTTACGGCGGGTTCACAGACGGGTTTCCAGAGAATGGGGGACTCTTGTGAGCCCTGGCACCTGGCGCAGGGCCTGGCACGGCTCCGGCCCTCCGTAGAGCGCTGGCTCTCCATGGGCACTAGATCCAAGGTACTGGGGGGCGGGGTGCAGGCCCTTGCCTCCGCAGACCAAAGTCGCCCGGCCGCCTGGCAGGCACAGTGGCGGGAGCTGCCGCTAGTTGGCGCCCGCGCCCTGCCAGCCGCGGAGGTGCGGGCCCGGCCAGGCTACAGATGCGCGCCAGCTGCGGCCCCGGGTGCAGGCGCGGCGGCCGCCCCCCAAGAAGCTGCCCTTTCCTTGCCACCAATGCGGCCAGGTCTCTGACAAACCGATGGCTGTGTGTCAAACCAAGGCCGCCTTCCTCACCTCTGATGAGACTGATGCCTTCCGCCTTAGCGTTTTCAGGCACCGGGGAGAAGACCCACAGAACAGGCTAGCTTGTTCCCAATTTCCACCGATCGCCAACCTGCTTCCTCCCCATCCCGGACCGACAAACTTTGTCGTCTGTTTGATGGGAGGGAGAGCTCCCACTCCCCCACCTGGGGCATGCAGACACCCTCGCTCTTCCCCAGCTGGCATCCTCAGCTGGCATGGAGGTCTTTTCTCCCTCTTCCATCAGATCGATGGACAAACAGCCCAGTTTCTCTCCAGTGGTCCCCACCTAAGAGCATCCTAAGTTGTCCACAGCAGGGCTAGGAAGCCGAAGGTCAGGACACTCCCCTCCCCTACCTTGACTTAGAGCTGGGTAAACCCAGAACCCACCCCCGGGCACATAGAGCCAGCTCCGTTGCCCCAGGAAGGGGATTCGTCTCCCTCCAGCATTTAGGAGTGCACTCTAAGTGTGTTCTTGGCAGTGAGGGTGCCGGCTTCCCAGGGCAGGCATGATTCATGGGGACTCTGTGGCGCCTGGGCAGGGATCCCCAGGTATACCAGACAAGGGGCAGGTGTGCCCTGGGAAGCTGCCTAAGAGGTCCATGGGCTGTGGAAGGAACCGGGGTTCACAGTCCGTCTGCCTGAGCGTGTCTTCTTCCCTCGCCCGCAGCTCTCTAGGGAGAATTGCCTAAGCCTCTCTGAGCCTCGTTTCTTTCATCTGTAAAGTGGGGGCACTCATAGTGGCCCCCATAGAATTGTGTGTAAAGTGCTTAGCACAGGCCTGGCACATAGAGGGTGCTCCAGCCATGGGGAGCCGTCACTGTCATTATGAAAAAATAAGACCTGTCAATCCTTGCTGGGGGCCTTTGAACCATCCCTCCCCTCTCTGGGCCTCACACTTCCATCTGTGAAATGTCCAGTTCTCATGGTCAGAGCTTGCCAGGACTCCAAGCCACTCCATGCTGTCCTGACCCCTCGATTCACCCAGGGGCTGCCTGGGGGAGCTAAGGACTGGCTGTTACCTACCTCCACGTGGAGTCAGCTCACAGCAGGGCTTCCAGCAACCGTCACAGGGCTGCCGGAGCTGGGTCTTGATGATTGTCCATCTGACCATTCCTCTCAGAACCTCACTTTGACCCCCACCCAGTTGCCCTCCTGTAGGCAGACATTTTCCTAAGTAGCAACTGGGCCTCAGCGGACGCTGCCAGGGACCCCATTTCCTTCCCAGGAGGCCTCTGTTTCCCATATCCCGAATCGCACAGGAGCCTAGTCCAGCGAAGAGGACAGAGGACTCTCTTCTAGAACTGAAAATTTCTCCCAGCCTGGCCCTAAATCCCCTGTCCAGAAGGACCCATGGTGAAACCTATCTCCTGCCCAGTGCCCTAGAACTCAAAGGGGACATTCATGCCCCTCACTGAGCCTCAGTTGCCTCTTCTGTCAATGGAGGTCATTCTAACCTCTCCATTTCACAGGAGGGGATTAAGGATTCCCTCTAGGAGGGGAAGGGCATCGTGTTTCGCTGTATCTAAATTGTGATCGATGGTTTGAAGAAACAGAAAGAAAACGCTGCTGAGTAAACTAGGACTCATCTGCTTCCTGATTTCAGATAATGATCTCTGAATATATAAGCGAGAAATGTTAATGAAAAATAGCAATATATCTGGGTTGAGGGGTTGTCTCCTGCAGGTCAGGGGTCCAGCCCTAGAGAGTCCAGCTCTGGGGTCGTCTCTCCTGGTCAGCCTCTCTGGAAGGATTCAGAATGTGTGGGAGGACAAATGTGCTTCTCAAATTACAGAGATCTTTCTTCCTTTTTGGAAAGTGCCAGACTTGGAGGGGAGGGAGAAGGAGCAGGGGAGAGCAGAGTGGTGAGGGTGTTAGGACCCAGTGCTGCCTGTGAGGTCTGAGACTTTTGCCTGGTGTCCACACTCCCCTGAGCCTTGGTCCTAAGGGTAAAATGGGAAGAACAGTAACAGCTGGGGGTGCTGAGGCTTTACCTTGTGCCAGGCGCCGCACGCGGGCATTACTCATGGTATTCAATCCCCACGGCGTCGTATGTGGTAGGTGTTATGCCCATGGAAGCAAAGAGGGACGTTGTTTGAGGTCGGCCAGGTTGGAGAGGGCCGGACCCAGGTTAAAAGCCTGCTGTGGCTCAAAATGTGGGGCATGAAGGCATCACCTGGCCAAGCATGTCAGCACTCTCCTCCTAGTGGCCGCGTAATGGGAAGAGCTAGCGGCTAGATACAGAGGAAAGTGCTACTGTGATGGGGAGAGAAAGCTGGGGTGGTAAATCCTGCTAAGCAGCCCTGGACTTGGAAATCAGCAGACTCTTCAAATCTGCAGGGAGTCAGGAAGGACTTGCCAGGGTCATTTGGGAGGGTCCTGTGATAGCTGAGGTGCACCCACCACCTGCTGTCTTTGGCCTCAGAACCAGTCTGTGAGGAGGCTGGATTGGCAGTAGTCTCCAGTTTACAGATGGGAACACTGAGACCCAGAAAGCGGAGAGGCATGATCAGGATCTGGACTGAGCTCCAGCAAGGCCAGGAGCGAGCACCTTGAGGCAAAATGCAGTCAGGCAGGACCTCTGCCTTGCAGGAGGCTGCAGCCCAGTCCCGGGCCTCATACACTAGGGCCCCATGCCACTCTCAGTGTCTGTCTCCCAAGGGAAGTGCTAGTCAGTCGCGTTTCCCTCTGGGCCTCAGTGTTCGCATGTGAACGCTGGGGGTGCACTTACAAGCCCCCTCTACATGCCAGGCAGGTTCCTGCAGGACCCCAGGGTTTTGCTGTGACCCAAGACCCCTCCTCCCCACCCACCTCCTCTCCACCTTCTGTGGGGCGCCAGCTCCCTTGCGTCCACATGACCTCGGATCCTTCCACGCCCACCCCCACCCTGTTCTGCAGGTGGGTGGACAGAGGGTGCTCTGCTTTGGGGATGAGAGAGAGAAAGG